GGCTGGGGGGAGGGGGCACGGTGGCCTGAGGCCCCGTGTCCCCCTACGGGCCCCCCCCGGCCTTCGCCCTCTACACTGCTGCTGCCATTGCCCTTCTGCGGGGACACAATGGGGACATCACCCCTGGGGACATCCCAGGGGACATCACCCCTGGGGACATCATCCCTGGGGACCACCAGGACACGCCAGGCCTGCAGGTATGAGCCCGTGGGGCAGGGGGGGACGCTTGATGGGACGTTGGGGACACGTGGAAGGGGACACTGAGGGTGGGGAGGGGGACACGGAAGGTCGTTGAGGACCTGCAGGGACACCCAGGTAGGGACATGAGGGTCCCTAGGGGACTCGTGGGGTTGTTTGGGACATCAGGGATGTCCTTGGGCACATCCGGGTGGGCACCCATGGGGGGGACACGCTGGGGGCATCCGTGGACCCACAGGTGCTCTTGGGGACCCACAGGTGCATGGAGATGGGGACACCAAGGAGCTGTGGGGACACATGGAGGACCTGTGGGGACACGGAGACAGTGGTGACAGCCTCGGGGAGAACGGTGACCTGCAGGGACCTCCAGATCAACACGGAGACCTCAAGGACCCGTGGGGACCCCCAGACACCTTTGGGGACACAGAGAACAGCTGGGGACACGTGGATGGCCACGTGGCTTCTCCTGTGGATGGACACGGTGGCACTGGGGACACCTCGGGGTGCACTGATGGACACGGGGACCCGTGGGGACGCACAGATGGATTTGGAGACCCTGAGGACACCTGGGGACCCACAGGGTCCCCATCCACCCTGTCCCCTGCAGCCCTCTACCCCCCACCCTTGCTGTCCCCTGTGTCCCCATCTCCCCAGGTATCTCCAGACCCCTTGTCCCCAGGGCTCCCCTGTTCACAAGTGTCCCCCAGGGCTGCTAAACGTCCCCAGCTGTCCCCAGACCCTCCCAACCTCCATTCCAGAGTGGCCCCAAGACCCCCCAAGTGTACCCTACTGTCCTCTCCTGCTTCCCTGTCCTCAGACTTCCCCAACTCATGTCCCCAGTTGTCTCTGACGTCGTCCAACCCATGTTCCCATCTCTCCCCATGTCCCCAGCCGTCCCCAACCTCCAACCCTTGTCCTGAACCGTCCCCAACCTCCTCCAACCCTTGTCCCCAACCTTCCCCCTGTCCCCAACCATCCCCAACCTCCTCCAACCCTTGTCCCCAACCTTCTCCCTGTCCCCAAGCTTCCCCAACCTCCTCCAACCCTTGTCCCCAGCCATCTCCCTGTCCCCAACCATCCCCAACCTCCTCCAACCCTTGTCCCCAACCTTCCCCCTGTCCCCAACCTTCCCCAACCTCCTCCAACCCTTGTCCCCAACCTTCCCCCTGTCCCCAACCTTCCCCAACCTCCTCCAACCCTTGTCCCCAACCTTCCCCCTGTCCCCAACCATCCCCAACCTCCTCCAACCCTTGTCCCCAACCTTCCCCCTGTCCCCAACCATCCCCAACCTCCTCCAACCCTTGTCCCCAACCTTCCCCCTGTCCCCAACCTTCCCCAACCTCCTCCAACCCTTGTCCCCAACCTTCCCCCTGTCCCCAACCTTCCCCAACCTCCTCCAACCCTTGTCCCCAACCTTCCCCCTGTCCCCAACCTTCCCCAACCTCCTCCAACCCTTGTCCCCAACCTTCCCCCTGTCCCCAACCTTCCCCAACCTCCTCCAACCCTTGTCCCCAACCTTCCCCCTGTCCCCAACCTTCCCCAACCTCCTCCAACCCTTGTCCCCAACCTTCCCCCTGTCCCCAACCTTCCCCAACCTCCTCCAACCCTTGTCCCCAACCTTCCCCCTGTCCCCAACCTTCCCCAACCTCCTCCAACCCTTGTCCCCAACCTTCCCCCTGTCCCCAACCTTCCCCAACCTCCTCCAACCCTTGTCCCCAACCTTCCCCCTGTCCCCAACCTTCCCCAACCTCCTCCAACCCTTGTCCCCAACCTTCCCCCTGTCCCCAACCTTCCCCAACCTCCTCCAACCCTTGTCCCCAACCTTCCCCCTGTCCCCAACCTTCCCCAACCTCCTCCAACCCTTGTCCCCAACCTTCCCCCTGTCCCCAACCTTCCCCAACCTCCTCCAACCCTTGTCCCCAACCTTCCCCCTGTCCCCAACCTTCCCCAACCTCCTCCAACCCTTGTCCCCAACCTTCCCCCTGTCCCCAACCTTCCCCAACCTCCTCCAACCCTTGTCCCCAACCTTCCCCCTGTCCCCAACCTTCCCCAACCTCCTCCAACCCTTGTCCCCAACCTTCCCCCTGTCCCCAACCTTCCCCAACCTCCTCCAACCCTTGTCCCCAACCTTCCCCCTGTCCCCAACCTTCCCCAACCTCCTCCAACCCTTGTCCCCAACCTTCCCCCTGTCCCCAACCTTCCCCAACCTCCTCCAACCCTTGTCCCCAACCTTCCCCCTGTCCCCAACCTTCCCCAACCTCCTCCAACCCTTGTCCCCAACCTTCCCCCTGTCCCCAACCTTCCCCAACCTCCTCCAACCCTTGTCCCCAACCTTCCCCCTGTCCCCAACCTTCCCCAACCTCCTCCAACCCTTGTCCCCAACCTTCCCCCTGTCCCCAACCTTCCCCAACCTCCTCCAACCCTTGTCCCCAACCTTCCCCCTGTCCCCAACCTTCCCCAACCTCCTCCAACCCTTGTCCCCAACCTTCCCCCTGTCCCCAACCTTCCCCAACCTCCTCCAACCCTTGTCCCCAACCTTCCCCCTGTCCCCAACCTTCCCCAACCTCGGGTCCCAGCCCCACCTCGACATGGGGGAGCCGTGGGGCGGGAGGGACCCCCTGCTGGGACCTCCTGGACGTGCCAGTGGGGACCTGGGGGGTGACTTTGGGGTCCCCTACGAGGACCTTTGGGACAGCCAGGGAGACCTCAGCCGTGTGGCCTTTGGGGACCCCTCTGTGGGTGCTGAGGACCCCTTAGGTAGAGATGACATGGATGTGGAGGTCAAGGGGCCTCTCTGAGACCTTGGGGACCACCAGCAGGGACCTTGGGGACCCCTTTGGGGATCTTAGGGACCACTGCATGGGTGTTGGGGACCCCTTAGATGAGGATGAGGAGGACATGGAGGTCAGGGACCTCTCTAGGACCTTGGGAACCCCCAGCAGGACCTTGGGGACCACTGCGTATTTGCTGGGGACCCCTTGGAAGTCGGGGACCTCTCTGAGACCTTGGGGACACCGTTAAGGACCCCTGGGATGTTGGGGACCCCTTGGATGAAGATGATGTGGAACATGGAGATCAAGACTTCTGTAAGATCTTGGGGACACTTTTGCAGTCTTGGGGACCCTTTAGGTGAAAACCAGGAGCTCAGGGGACCTTTCTCCTCCTTGGGGACAACCTGGAGGGACCCCCTTGTGGCTGTTGGGGACCCCTTGGAGATGAGGGGGACAGAGATCAGGGTCCCTGAGATCTTAATGGACCTTGAGGAAACAGAGGAGCCTTCAAGGACCTCTACAGACCTTAGGGAAGACTGTGGACTTAGAACATTCTGGACCTTCTTGGGGACCCCACTATGACTGTTTGGGGACCCCTGAGATGAGGACATAGAGGTCAAGAGACCTCTCTAAGGCCTTGAGAACACCCTTTGATTTTGGGGATACACTGAAGGAGCAGAGTGACTTTGGAAACCCCTTAGATGAAGATGAGGAGGAGGTGGA